TCGACTGCTCTCGGCGATGAACGGTTTTGTTATTTAATATTTAACGACAAGTAGTACCTACCTAACACGTTTGCGAGTGTTTGTATTTGCATACGATTTCCTTGTTAATTGAACGCGATGTAAATTCCACGAATGCGTTTTTATGAATTATTCGCTCGCAATCGCGACGCTTCCAATATTCTCCACGGTCCACTTGGTAAACACGAAATTCACACACAACGTAACACACGTACACACACGCGCACACGTATACACGCGATGGCCAGTATATAACAATTATTATCAATGTTTGTTGCGGCTGCACTAATTGTGTGTTTTTAATGGCTTGGCTGTGCACCACCCCTCCGCAATATCCCTCAATTTGGGGGCGTGATAGAAACGAACCGGCTCGGAAGGTTAAAAAAAAAACACGTGCGGAAAAATCCGGGACAGATTAACGAATCGTTGCACGATCGAACATGATATCGCATCCCTCGTTCGCCACGGAGCCCAAGTCACAGACCCTCGACTCGTTGACGACTCGATAATCTCGTTTAGCGGCGTTATTATTCTCTATTGTCGGCCGAAACGCGCCACGAGGCCTCTCCCCGGTCAAATGCGAAAGAGAGGGTCCCCCCTTCTTTATTTTGCCCCCACAGCTTTTGAATGTCGCCTGCACTTACTAATGTTTAGCTTACACGTGCGATTTCCTGCTTGTTCTGTCCAGTATTAAGTTGGAGCTGGAGAAACTCGCCCAGGAGAAGACGGAGATGCAGCGCCACTACGTCATGGTGAGTTCACACAAGCGAAACCTATTGCAGAAACCTATCGAGAGTAATCGTATGAGACGCGAAGGGTCGACGCGACGCGGCGCGCTTTTCTCATTTCGTAGAGGCGAGCCGCTCCTGACCGAACCGTTGCGGAACGGCAGGGGACACTCGACGTCGTGGCTCGCTCGTCAAATTTGCACTACGACGCAATGCTGAAACATACCGGAGAGCGTACGTAAATTTTATCTCGCGTATTGAGCCGCTTAACGACGTTTAAAGCGAAATTGACGTACAATAATCTGTAAAAGTCCGAGCCGCGACGAAGAAAATATTCGGGAGAATTTAGGGCCCACGGCGCACACGTGCCGCGCGTTGCCTCTTCGCCATGGACGCGGGGCACCTCGTGTCTAGTTTTGTTTTTCGGCTTTGTCCCGCGAGAATGCGCATGTAGACGCCACGAGAGCCTCGGCTTACTTTCGCCCGTAGATCTTCGTTATCGCGATACACCGTCGACCGCGTGTATGCATCTTCATTAAGCCGCGCGAAGCGTAAAGAGGTGCGCACCGCTTTCTTCATGGGAGGTCGAAGGTCGCCGAGAGTACCGGTTTTAATTTTACGCCAGTTGTACCGACGTCTCGGTGGATCTGCATTCTTTCCGGCTATCTATCTTGCGAGAGCGTCTTCGCGTATAACGCGATAATTTTCAGACCATAGCCTCTTAGCACCCAGAGAAGCGTAGATCTGAATCTTTTTTTTAGATTACGGCACGGACACTTCCTAGATTCGCAAATCCACCGCGAAGATAATCCGATTGGAAGGTTTATTTCGAGATAAATAACAATGGCTCGTCTCCGATAAAAATCAAAGTAATTATAGAAGGGGCTCAGAGCCTAGACAGGGCTGTAGTGTCAAAAAGAAATGCGTTGAATTAAAATAGAAAGCGAACAGACGTTTCGGTCCTAACTGGACTATCTTCGGTACAAAGAAAATCTTATTATCTGTCATGCACTAATTTATACCCTTTTCTTTATGTCGACGATGGTCCGGTTAGGACCGGAACGTCTCTTTTCGCTTTCTATTACTTTAATTGAACACATTTCTTTGACACTACAACCCTGTCCAGGCTCTGAGCCACTTCTACACTGAGAAAAATGTCCGATTACTCTGGGGAAAAAAAGACAGCTACCCATTTTGGGGCCCACAATTAGTAATCGAATTATTTGGATTGTTCGCAACTCTAATCTCTTACGAACTTTACCCCGCGTAATTAAAAATCGCAATTATCTGTTCTATCCAAGATTTTAAAGTAACACTAATCAATTCTCTCAATTGGTTCTGTCCGTATTCAGTAACGCACAGATAATTTTCAAACTAAGAAAACTAAGAAAAATGTCCGATCAAGTATAATCGGATAATTCAATTACATAATAAACAGATATATCCAATTAAATTGTATATTCCATGAAAAATATGATCGGTTTTTCAATCAAATTTCATCGGATGTATCCATTATTTAATCGAAAAGCGTGATCGGAAAAATTAACCACCGGAAACACTATTTAATAGGTTTATCCCATGAAAATTTTTCTCAGTGCACTTAAGAGGCACTAACCGAAATGTTAAGTTGCTTAACTACAAAAAAGAACGGTCAAAATGTTTCCCAGAGTAGAGTTACGAACAATCCAAATAATTCGATTTACTAGTTGTGGGTCCCAAAATGAGTTGCCGTCTTTTTTCCCCCGGAGTAAATGTAATCGGATAATCCAATTATACAGGGT